AAGCATCCTCGCCGCCCTGGCAAGCCTCTGCGCCGGAGCATCCTCCAGCGGTATCTCGCAACCTGGAGGCTTCGGCCGGCTTCATGTTTTTGCGTGCCTCGAGCGTTGCATCGAGCAGGAATTACAGAGGAAAACCGTTTTGGTTGGTTTGTTTTGTTTGTTGTTTTTTTTTTTTTAAAAAAAAAGGTGCTTTTCCCGATTGCCGCCGCTCTCCATCCCGCAAGCATCTTCTTGGCTGAGTTGCTCATAGGGACCTTGCAGGAGAAAGGGAGTACGTGGAGTGCGATTTCAGCATCAGATTGAAATAATAAAGCGTAGTTTATCTTTTTGCGCTCGAGTTTGGGCAGCATCGCCGAGAAGTGATGTATTTTAACGTCCTTAACTTCTCCCCACCCCCTTTCTGGAGGCACAACTTTAGAAGCACATATTGATCTTTCCCCTCAGATCTTAACAGCCTGAGCAGCCGTAATACCTTGCTTACATCTGCCAGGTTTTTGTGCAGTTTTGCAACATCTCCTTAATCCGGGCGAGCAGAAATAGAACATTTCAATCATATTTTGCTACCGGGAAACCGAGCAGATAAAGCGCTTTAAGACCTTGTTGAAAGGGACCGTGCAAGATGGCGAGCGATAAGATTGTCCTATAAGCAGGCGCCGAATGGAAAACTTTTGTTGCCGCTGAAATTTGCTGATAGAGATATTGCAAATAAATTACTCGGTGAGCACCTCCGCGCGTTAAAACAATGAGGAGGTGACGCGAGTAGGGGAAATCGCAGCGCCTGAGCTGGACGGAGATGTGGATGCCAGGGAGCCCTGGCACCAGCGAGATCGGTGGGCTCCTTGCTCCCATGTTTTCCCCTCTCCTTGCTGGGGAAGGTGGGAGAGGAGGGGGGGGGGTGTCTTACCCGCACGCCCTTTTCTCGGACCGCGCTTGGCATCGAGTGCTGTTGTCCGTCTCGCCGTTACAGCAGTGAGAATAAATTGCTGCACCCGGGAAGGCGGTCTCGATTTGACCCGGCTTGCCCTGGCTTTTGGGGATCCGTGCCGGGAGCAAGGTTGTTTTTGCTGTTATTTCTGTAGGCTCGGGCGACGCGGAGAAAGGAAACTTGTCCTTTTGTTTCCGCTCTGTTTCTTGAGACTCGCTTTAAAAAAACAAATAAAAAAAATTCCGAGTTTTACTCGAACTAATTAACCAATTACACTCTAATTCACTGAAAAGGCGTTCTAGCCTCAGAGAGGGCGAGCGCTGCAACGTTGGCACGGAGGATGCCGCGCTCTTCCTAAGAAAGTGGTTTAAACCCGGCGTTAAGTGCAGAAGCGAGCTCAGCCCCAGCCGGGGAAGTGTGACAGGCATGTCCCTAATTAAAAATGCAAAATGAGAAGGTTGTCGCTTATTTAGCTGACTTCTTGGCAGCAGAAGTCTGTCAGGAGGCTGGTGTTTTATTTATTTTTGCAAGGCAGATAAATCCTTCGGATTGTAAACCTTCTTGGCCTGAATTCGTGCATGACTCTTAATCCTCCGCTATGACACAGTGAATTCAGGACAAGCCTGATTAATAATTACATTATACAGCAAAGTTGAGAGTTGAAACCAACTCCTGCTCTTTTCCTCTCCGCTCCCTTTCTGCTCTGCAGCGTTTGCTCGCTGCCGAACATCACAGGGCCTCCTCCTGCGGCCCGGCGCTTCCAGCGTTGCCGTTCAGCATCCCTGCAAAGCGGGATGCGGGGCCGGCCGCTTTGCACCCTTGCGAGGGAATTGGACTCCGCGCGCCGTGGGGCAGGGGAAGCTTTGGGGCTCCAGGCTCTCCGCAGCTGCAAGGGATGCTCCGGCTAGGGCTCGGTGGAGCGACAGCTTCACGCCAGTAAGACTTACACCGGGGGTGGGAAATAAAGCTCACGCAAAGCTAAATCTCCCCCCGCCCCAGCCCCTGCACAGAAGGCGAAGCGGTCCTTGCAGCCCTGCGCGGCCGGGGCCGAGCTCTCCCGCGGGAGCGGCAGAGGGAGGAGGGTTTGGCGTCCAGCCCCGGACAAGACCGTTTCTGTTTTGTCTTTGGCAACAAGGCAATAAAAATACCCTCGTCTTGTTGCAGAGTGATGATAAATGGTGGATGCGATCAGAGGTCGGCATGCAGCGATTTGCTGTGTTACTCCTCAAACACATACAAATACTTCTCTGTTTACGGCATCCGATTTTGAAACTTTGCACGTGCTCCTGTCGCGAGCCCTCCTCCCCGGCCATCGGTACGAACGGTTCACATTAACAGAGGTGTGGCTCGCGGGCAGCAGCCAGCGCGCTTGGCTTGGAAGCGTTTGTGACTTGGGGGCTTTTTATCAATGCTGCTGTCGAGCGCAGAGCCGGGTTGCTTTGCAAAAGCATCCATTTATCAGCAGCTGACATGGTGAAATAAAGCAACAAGCACCCGTTCCAGGCGTTTCGAGTGCTGCGTGATGTTCCTCCATGTGCTTGGGGCAGCAGCGGCTGTTTGGGGGGGGGGGTGAGCCCCGGGACGCTCCTCCGCGGCGTGGCGGGCAGGTGGCGCGGGGCTGGGCAATGGCTGGCCCCAAAGCGGAGGGAACGGGTTTGGGAGGGGTTGCCCTTGGGGGGCAGCGGCAGCTCTGGGAGCGAGATGGAGGTTGGTCGCTTGGTTGTCGTAGACTTGGACAATGCTCCTGCCCAGGTCTGTGCAAACGCCGTCTGTTAAAGGTTATTTCATTTGACGGGGAGCTCCCAGTCTGCTGCGGGTCGTTTGCTACCCGAGGGCAGGGAGCATCGACATCTCCTTGGGAAAGAGAGGGAAGTAACGTGGGTTTGGCCGTTGTGGCCAAGCCCAGCATCCGCCGCCCGCGGTGGCAAAGCGGGGGAGATGCTGCGACCGGTACCCGAGCCCCACCCCTGCTCCCCGGGTCGCTGGGGGATGCTCGGCCCCTTGGCGTGATGGGGGACAGGGGATGCGGCTCTGCCGCTGCCGTCGGGAGGTTGTGCAACGCCGCCCGGGCGTAGCTTAGTTTGTGCCTCGCGGTGCCAGGAAATGGTGAGCGGCATGTTTCCTGTTTGCTAGCTGGTGGTTAAGTTTTTTGCTTGTGATTCGTGTCACGCTGAATTTGGATGGAAATTGGGATTCGGTTAGAAATGCATACAAACAAACTCTTAAAATTTTTTTTTTTTTTTTTGAGTACAGTACCCTTTTCAAAAGCGCTCGCTGCATAGGGAATAAGTTCACCAACACGTACTTTGCATTAACTCTAGAGTTCAGATTTATTGGGTTTAATAAAAGAATCCAACTTTAGTAACGGTAACAAGCATTAAACAGGAGAAGGTAATCTCATCAGTCCTGGGGCGTCACACAGGACCTCCTGTTCGTGCCCTTCCTATAGGGCTTCTCAAACCAGAACCGTTTTCGGGCGACGCGTAGGTTGCGTGAAATATCGGGAAGTTTCCCGGCATTGTTTGGGATAACCTTGCCCCCGCGCGCAGGAGGACTAACCCCTCTCTGTTCTCCCCTAGGAAGCTGCACAGCGGGATGAAGACTTACGGATGCGAGCTGTGCGGGAAGCGGTTCCTGGACAGCTTGCGGCTGCGAATGCACTTACTGGCTCACTCAGGTAGGTTGGAAGGGGGACGCTTGGGGCGGGACGGGGGGGGATGCTCGCTGGGGCCCACCCAGAGATGTGG